AACTTGTATGAACAAAATCAAGGGGGGGGGGGGGCAAATTTATAATTGTTCATGAGGACAGAATTGCCTTTGAAACCCCATTGATAGTTCTGTGTCCCACACTCGGACCCCTTACGTATTAATTGAAAAAAAAAGGCTCTGGTATCCTATTCCTTCTCATTACTCCAATGGACCGACTCCAGTAAAGCATTTTATGCTAATGAATGGTATATATGTATTGGTCAGGCTTTCATTCGACATATTAGAAAGTTTTCAACGAGATTTCTGGAAAAAGTTATAGAAGGTTGTATTTAACGTGGAAACAGATGGCAAATGTATTACTGGGTGTATGGCCTAATCCTACGAACGCCTGTGATGGTATATGTTCTCACGGCACTAATTCATTTGCCATCATTATTTTCATGTTAAAACACGAAATTCAACCTTCTACAACTTTTTCCAGAAATCTCGTTGAAAGCTTTCCAATATGTCAAATGAAAGCCTAACCAATCCTTAATGTCTCCTAAAAAATTCCATATATGAAGACCATGAAAAGCTAGTCAAATTGAAAGAAGACTACTACCGGTTACACTCATGGACTCACTCCACTAATTCATTTGCCATCTCTTCCCATGTTAAAACACGAAATTCAACCTTCTATAACTTTTTCCAGAAATCTCGTTGAAAGCTTTCCAACATGTCGAATGAAAGCCTGACCAATTCTCAATGTCTCCTAAAAAATTCATTATATGATGACCATGAAAATTTTGAGCTACTAAAATTGAAAGTAGACTACTACCGGTTATACTCATCCGCTAGAGTTTGGCACTTCACAAAACGACTATTTTTAGAATTAGCCTTCCGCCTTTAAGTCTCTTATCATCTCACCAAATCTGAAAGATAATGCAATTTCAGACATCAAATTCCAAATCTAGACCAAATTTTACCCAAAAATAGGCAGGCAAAAACCCCAAAAGGGAGAGAGAAAGAAGATTTCTAAAAATAGCCTGGACTACATTCCTATACAATCATTTGCATAAAATGTTTTAGTGGAGTGAGTCCTCATATTTGGCAGTTCACAAAACGACTATTTTTAGAATTATCCTTCCGCCATTAAGTCTCTAATCATCCCACTAAATCTTAAAGAAAATGCAATTTCAGGCATCAAATTCCAAATCTAGACCAAAAATTACTCAAAAATAGGCATGGAAAAAACCAAAGGGGAGAGAGAAAGAAGATTTCTAAAAATAGCCTAGGCTCATTTCCATGATTTAAGGGGAGTGAGTCAATGTGTATTAGAGTTATGTTCCTTAATTTAATATGGCTGCGCCCAAAATCAATGCTTTCATTTATTATGAATAAAGTTTCATTTGAATTATATTATATCTTCCACATCATCAACTTCTGCCCATAATCATTATACTCTCCAATAATTATGGATATTGATATAAATCGTGAATCTCAAACTTCGAAATGAACAGGTTGAAGAATGTCTAACAAAAACGAAAAATACTGGTACTGTATTGTATGAAAAATCATATGACTATTTATTGTATGATTATCAGCGACATCGTCTTAGATATATAGCTACAATTTATCGTTGGAGTCAACGGAAAAATACACCTATCTGAGGTATCCTCGGACCATATCATAGACTATATCTACAAAATTTTCTATTAAAACTCAAACTATGTGTGTTTATGATATTGTTTTCATTTTACTTATTGTTACTGGTTATACTGATGCAAATAATGTACTTGATTTAAATGGAGTTTGGAGTATAACGAATGGTCGTAAGTATTGTGTTAAATAATTATCAATTTACAAGTCATGTTTCTTTACAAATTTCAATACAAAATGATGAATAGAACTAAAAAGATTTTTGCAAGTTACAAGCCATGTTTTTTGTTGTTGAAAATTTAAATACAAAATGATAAATAGAACAGAAAGTTTATCCGATGCCACGTTGCCATGAGTTACACAATTACATTGTCTATACATATAAACATTTACCACGAAGAAATCACATTTGATGTTCCAAACCAGCAATATGTTGGAATAATGTTGTGCTATTTCTATAAATTGTCATTCAGTATTGTTTTTTGTGTTAGAATTCAACATCCAAGGTAACGTACCAGGAGATGTTTACACTTCTCTAATACAAAGCAGAATAATAGAAGATCCTTATCGACGTGATAATGATGTAGTGTACAGACCCTATGCTTATTATGGCTATACATATAATAGAAAATTTACTGGTGAGTCTGTAAGGCCTGATCACGAAACGTATTACGCAATTATACTACAATACCTACTGATGCAGGTCTGAGAAAATGACATGGACAAAGTGTGTAGTGGATTGGATAGGACAATAAAACGAGGTCCAGTGTGCTAAAGACTGTTCATGTTAAAGGTCACTCTACATTTAAAATGCCACTGCCCTGGTAAAACTTCTCTTTGCTCACTGCATGACGTTACCCGTCCTCATAAGACCGAATAGGTACACCAAAGCAGGATTTAAAATCCATTTCATTTCATATTTAATCAAGCGCCATTCCCCATTACAGTTAGTGAGGCAGATTTTAAGTCTACTAAAATAGAACTAGTTTGTGATGGACTGGACACATTCTCTGATATAATGGTAAATGGTGTATTGGTTGGTAGTAGTGATAATATGTTTATAAAGTATAGATATAATATTAAACATGTTATAAAACCTGGTATAAATAATATTACCATCAGCTTCCAATCTGCTGTAATAACTGCTGAAGCCTTGTATAATAAATCTACCTACCATATACCATCAATATGTCCAGATGCTTACCATGGTTTTTGTCATTATAACTTCATCAGAAAGATGGAATATTCATTTAGTTGGGATTGGGGTCCAGCTATACCTAACCAGGGTATTTGGTACGTATATGGGTTTCATATTTAGAGCTTGGCCATTCTCAATTGTCATGGCTTCATCTTATTACGACTTTTGGAACGAAGTATTTATTCACTCTCAAGAACTTGTGTTTTCTTTTTGTTTATGTGCACATAGTTCATGGAAAATTAACACTTCATTGCTCAATAACTTTCCTTGATTCTCAGAGGCATGGATAGTGATTGTCTTGCGAACTACTACTAAAACCACGTAGATTCACTCCTTCCATCTTCATCTCTCATCGTTTGATTTACTCATTATATCTCTACTCTTTTACTTGGTCTTTTGGTGGCAAAATTGACATAAAATTCAAAATTTTCCAGGAGAAATATCTACGTAGAATGTTATGATATTCCAAAAATAAATAGTATTTCTGTTTTACCAAAGCAGTCAGGTATGGATCGACAATCAATGAGAAAAAATCACGAAGAGTTACTTTATATCACTATGTCTTTTATACAGCAAAGTATATCGCATTATTGTTCGTAACGTAGCTGTGATGGCTAAAATAATTAACTCTGTCGTAAATATCATATTCCAAAATTATTGAGACTCACTGTAATGCTTTTGGGACAAGTAAAGACTGACTAAGAATTTGACTTAGTAAGTGCATGGGAATCGTTACGACTTACATGTGTATATGAAA